GTCCATTCCCTTTAACCTTCAGCCCCTCCATGCCCAACCCAGCAGAGCAACCTGCACAAAGCCTCAACAAAGAAGACCTGTGAAGACCCTTTGAACTAGAAGACTAGCTTCCTTTGCTAAAAGCAGCAGAGCAGAGTTGTCTCAGATGTCATGTATCAATCCCACCGCACCCCTTAAAACACCCGTTTCTTTCATTCCCGCTTGAACGCCGCAGCTTGAACGCCGCAGCTTGAACGCGGCCTCTCAGGATGCCTTGGAACTCGTGGAAGAGTCGGAACCTCTTGACCTCCACAGTCTGCGCTTGCTTCAGGTGCCGCCCGGGCCGGTCCACTCCAAACTACCCAAATGGCGGCCGGGTCATGGCACCCGGCCACCCGCTACCTAGCTGGTTGGTCCCACCGAACATGAACCGATTCCTCTCTGTTCGGAAGATGGTCAAGCGAGCTCCCATGGGGACTGGTGGGGGGAGCTGCCGTGACGAAAGCCACATGGAGATTGGTGGGTTGGTGGCGTTTGACCACCTGGTTCCCCCAGGTCCGGCCAAGCAGGGTCGCAGACTCCGGCGGGGGTGGGGTGTTCTCTGGATCTGTATGTTTCTTTCTTCATGAAGGCGCGACAACTTGGGGAGAGATGGAGGACGGAGATGCGAGCGGCTGAGACTTGGGGCGGAATGTGCGAGACTGGGGGTGTAGGCGAGAGGGATCTGAAAAAGGGTGAAGGTTCTCCTCAAAGTCCTTCCATCCATTGGCCAATGCCCTATAGGCCCTATAGGATGTTCACCCCTTTCTTTTCAGACCGAGAATGACCAGTGAGGTGCAACAGACGCTGACGCAGGGGAACGTCAGCACGGCCATGGTGCCTTGGCTGCGGTGAAGGAAGGAATGGCGGCCTCTGAACCGGAAAAACAGCGTTGCGTCAGCGGATCTGACAGGCGGATCTGACGCAACGCAGCAACGGGTGGAGAGTGCTTTTTTGATTTGCTTCTTTTCATCATTCTTCCCCTTTTGACGGTGGAAAGATGCATGGGTCACCATGAAAACCACGGACGGGTCACCAGTGACAAACCATCACAACTTATAGCTCAGAGTCATTCGCAGCCTTTGCAGTATGCTTTGAGTGGCTGCTTTATTGCTTGCTTGACATTGACATAGGCATTCTTAACCAACCTAAATCCCACTGGCACTCACCCGGCACATGTCCCAGTTGCCACACATAACCAATGTAAGGTTCCTTCCTCTTTGGCGGACGCGAGCGAACGCGAGCGAGTTGGGGTGGAGAAGATCCCACCCTTTGCCCCAGGCACCACGGAATTCGACTGGACTCACCCAGCAAGGCGAGGCTTTCAGGGTCGGGGGCAGAAGCTGGTCGAGCAAGGGCGGAGTTGGCCAAGGCAAGGGAGGCATGCTGATTCAGTGAAGCTAGGATAAGCTAGGTCACTGGAAGGGCAGTGGTTGGGGGCGCTCAACCATGAACCTGCTCATACAGAGAATTTCTTTCGTCTGGCTGATTTTGTCCGGCACGTATCGGTTGAAAACTGTTGTCGGCCTGTGGGTACTGCTACAACTACAACTACAACATACTACAACTACTACAAGAACTTAACAAGACAATGCACTTGGTTGGTTGTGTATCTAATATCTTGCTTGATCTTGCTTGTGGCTGTATGACCAGGTTCCAACCCATGAAATAATTGCTGGGCTGTCAAAGTACCAAACGCTGTAAGCAGACTCTTAATATCATATATATATATATATACATGATATATGCATATTACATAATGTATAGTGTAGTAAACCATCGTAATTAGCAACTTGCACCTTTAAAACATGGACTCACCATCAGCCAAAGGAGTCCTCCATTCTTCCCAGCACTGTCTAGTACTAGTATACCTGGAATCACTGGACTGTTTGTTCATTGGATGCCACTGACTGAAAAGCACCGGCTTCAGCCCTGTCACCAGCGCTGGAGGTTCCGGGTCAGCTTCCCGGCCGCTGAAAAACTTCACTCGGTTCATCCATGCGCCCAACATGTGCCTTATCTCCGGGCGGGTAGCGCGAGCAGGGGGGGTCAGGAAGTAGTAGTAGTAGTAGTAGCAGTAGTAGTAGCAGCAGGAGTAGTAGTAGTAGCAGCAGGAGTAGTAGTAGTAGTAGTAGTAGTAGTAGTAGTAGTAGATTAAACCATGATGATATCGGTGGTTGCGGAGATTCCTGCATTCCCGACATGAAAATCCATGACATGGATGGATGGGCTTTGCTTGTTCCTTTTTGGAGCATGATATGTTTGCCCGAATTTCATGCAGAGTCCTTTCCTCTTTTCCTGGCACATTCAACCCATTGCAGACTTCAGAGTTATTGGACATTTGCAGCAGTCAGGAACGTGATAGACTTTCTGCCAGTGTATGTAAAGCGCGATAATTTGCAGTGTTGGGCAGTGAACGTGATGTTTCAAAGAGCAGGAACTTCCAAAGGTTCTTTGTGGGACGGCCCAAGTTCTGGGACGCGATGTTGTGGTGTTTCTGTTGTTCCGACGTGTGTCGGGATCGCAACAAGAGAATAGAAACATCCATCCACTGACGACGGGCCCCACAGCGGGGTGGGAAGATACTGATCACTGTTTGCTTCGTTGGGGACAGTTATCTTCATGTACACGGATTTGCGCCCGCTTAGCTAGGGCTTGCAAGAGTCTCCAATTTCCAGTGTGACCTTTTGCTGTCCCCCTGGGTCAACCAAATCGCCAGCAGTCGAAAAAAAACAAATCCCCAACATCGACCATCCTGTAAAAGAGGCCATTGGCAGTGAGCTGTGCCTGTCAAGCCGACATAGGAACACACTCCTTAGAGTGAAGCGAAAACAACCCAACGCGCATTTCCCAGCGTACCCTTTACGCGGCGATGATTTTGGCCAGGCAAATTCTCATACCCTGTTTTCACACGTAGGGGGTTTGTTTTTCAGGGTCCAATTCTTTGGGCAGCCTTATCTACATCGGCACTGTCTACCTCGTTGCCTTCCAACTGTTGCTAGCCATCCACCGGAAAAAAAAAGAACAGCACCATCCATCTGTCCGCCCCTTTGGTCGAGGCGTTGGGCTATCCTAGCGCTGGGTTTGGCGGTCTGGATCATGTTGGGCTCATTGGTCTTGGGCCTTTGGTATCTTTGCTGCTTGGCACTGCTGGGCGATGGTGTCTTGTCGAGTGCCCCATGTGGGAGAAATCACGAATTCCTGCGACATGAACTCTCCCAATGACCAATTTCTTTGACACCTGAAAGGGCGTGTCATCTTTGCGAAAAGACCTGGCCGCTTTCGGCCCACAACGCTTTTCCTTTGCTCAGGTCGTCAACGGCAGAAAGACGAACCTTCTATGGCCTTCAAGGCACTCGGATCGCTGTGGCTACTTTCACTGTGGCGCACCCGCACGAGGGGGGCGGAACAAGCGCGGGGCTTCACTGGGTGGGAGGAACCGTTCCCTTAACAAACGATGGAAGATAGATTGCTACACTGACCACGAGGATGCGTACGATGTGTTCAGCTCTAATTTCAAGGACGAATGAAACGAGCAGACCCTGTAATTACATCATCATCATCATCATCACCATCATCATCATCATCATCATCACCATCATCACCATCATCTTCGCAACCTGTGGGTGTGTCGAACTATACACTTCTTTCTCCATTTGGAGGTCTCCCTTGCGCTACTACACTCATTGCATCAACCTGGCAACACCCCAAAAACTATCGACCCTTTCGACGGGTTGTGTCACCGTCATTGCTGAGATCATTCAGCAAAAACTAGCTGTTCAGGGATTCCCTGGACATCAGAACTAGTTGTTTAGGGATTCTCAACCCCTCGGCAGGTCACCTGTGCAAGCTTCGTAGTGCTGGCCGCCATGGCCGCCAGCTGGCTTGCAGACCCTCGGCTTGGGAGGACGAACCATGAGAGAGAACAACCTTCAGCTTTGTCACTTTTTCTTCGTCTTCTTTCGGTCGTCGTGTCGTCAGCATCGGCGTTTGGTCGTCGTCGCCGTCACAGTCGTCGTCATGGTGGTGCTGGTGGTTGTCGTCATAGTAATAGCTGCCGGAGGAAGAGGAGGAGTAAGATGGAGGAGGAGTAAGGTGGAGGCGCGACAACATCCACTACAATCACCAAGCATTATTTGGTGGTCCAGAGGTATAGAGTTGGGTGAACGACGCTAAATTTACATTTCTCAGTTGCGTTCGCAAATTTGCTCACGTGTCGAAACCATTTGCGAGAAAGTCCAGTAACCTATCCAAATCATGTTTGCAAGAAATTGCTTTGAGGTTGATTAGGGTGCATGGCATGGTGCACCCAGAAGAAACACATTGAAAGGAGCTGGACTCAACTTCTGGATATAACTGAATGAATCAAATGGATCTGTTGCTCCTTGACATCAGAATACCTTGGTGTGTCATGAGGGTGCTTCTCACGCCCTTAATGGTTCTACGCTTTTGTCTTCAGGCCAAGCTTTAAGGCTCTCCTCACTCTTGAGACGCAGCCAGCTTTGGGACGGAGTCCTTCCGGGACGGCTTCAGGCCGAAAAGGCATGTTCGCGTGAACCGGCCGAACACCTCGCCATCGCTCGCCACGCTTCGTGCACAGCGCCGAGATGTGGTACTTCGCGGGTGCGCTGATGAAAAAAATGGCTGATGGAGTATGATGTGGCCTTCTTGGGGGTGGATGTTGCTTGGATTTCCACATCAGATGCCCGGCACATCGTGGCCGGCCGGTGTGGCAACCTTGGCTGAAATGGCTTGACACCATGTGTTTCTTTTTTTTGGTTTGTTTCTGAGGAGTTGAAGTTCGTTGGGTCGCAGTATATAGTTTGTCTTCTAAAAAAGTCAGTGCTTGCTGGCGTCCGAAATGTGGATTTCCAGACATCAAAATCGGGCAGGGTTCTTTTTGAGCTCTCACTCCCATTCCCAAATCAACAGGATGCAACAACAATATGTAATATGCAATGATACATATACGTACACAATGAAAAAAAACACCTCCTTAGTTCGACCCTCTTGAAGGTTCGAGAAATAGATCAACACCGGCCCATTGTTCTTTATGAAAATAGACACCCATATCTACAAAGATCTACCATTCATGCGCAGAGAGATGTTTGCCTTCTGTAGTCACTGTAGTCACTGTAGTCATTGAAGACTATCGAACAACTAAGCATTGAAGGGAATCGTGAAGCAGTGTCATTGGTCTGCACATTTGCAAGTACTTTCCCAACCCCATGCCACGATGCTTATCTCCTTTCGTGGAAAGCTAGCACATGGCTGCGAATCAGAACATCTGCCTTTGGTGGATCACTTGGCCAGTCTACAAACAGTTGGCCTTCGTTGGCCGCCTTCGAGATGAGGGTCAGAGTCGGCTCATGTGTGAAGCCCAAAAGCCTTCTGCAGCTGTTTTTTGGACCCACTCTACTGCACCTACTGTACCCCGAAAGATGCTCTGCCTCAGACATCATATTCCAAGACCAAAGAAGGTTGGCACAAGGAACGGCCGCCATGAACTCTCAGCCGGCCGCCATTGATTCGATCCTGTAGAACCGATTGGTATACGGTACCTGGCAACGACCCCTCTATATAGTCATCCCCTTCGTACGGACATTACCATCCGCCCCTGAACTGGTCCCGACAGCGGCTGTGCAGAATGGCTTCTAAGAAGACACTCTGGCACCTAAGGGCTTGGAACGAACCAAAGGGTGGCGGCCGAGTTGCGAACCGGGACGCACAGAGTCACTCTTGGCCACGTGGCTACCCCAGGTGCCGGTCAAGACCGATGCTATCGGGATGCAACCACCATCTTGTTAGGGTGTCACTCTGTCACTCGTCATGCTTTCGTTGTATCCATACCTTCATCCGCATCCACTGGACCTGATCTTATTCTTCGTTTTCATGTGCGTTTTTTCCCCGATGTCGTCTCGCCATCTCTGAATCTCAGTTCAGTTCCGTTCGGATCGGGCGTCGTCGCGGCGTATGTCTTAGTTTCATCCGAGGTTTCGGTGGACCGGATCGTCTTGAACCCTTGGTTTGGCACGCTCTTGGCCACCAATCTGACCATCGGCCCGGGACCGGTCGGAGTCGTCGTCCCGTTTTTCCTTCGGCGCGCTGGGTTTAGCGGAGCCGAAGACCGGGAGGCACCATGACACAGTGGAGGTTCCCCAAGGCTTCTGCAAGGCCGCAAGGCTTGATAGGACGTTTTCATGCAAGTTCGTTCATGCAAGTATCGCAGCTGTTGTTTTTCGATCGGAACTTCACCCCTTTAAACTGACAGAACGACCTCTTCCATGAAAAAAGCACCATGTCGTAGAGGGGTCTTTGTGGTTCAGTTCAGCTGAGAAATCTTTGGTATGAGAAGCACAGTCACGGTGCTTCTCTTCTTTGAGTCCAACAAACCCGATGGAACAGTTGCGATGGCATAGCTGGCTCACCCAAATGAAATCCTCGACAGAGACTCTACAGTCACTGGGCTCGGATTTCGACTCCTTCAGAGACTCCAACCAAAGCTAATTCAACCCAGTCCAAATTTAATGCATCAAGTCACCTCTCCATCCACAAGCACCTCACTTGCCAGGCAACCCGCCTGGCTACACCTCTCAGCACTTGGCACACGTCCAACGTCTCTTCATCAATGTGGACATGGGCAGTCTGGTGAAGTCTCTCGCCCATAGGCACATCGGGACTGCAATCGATTCTGCTTCCTAAGAGTGACATAGATGCAGAGACATGTTCAGACTCTTTTTTTGCATTGGGTTGCCTTTTAAGTCTATAGATGCTGTAGATGCCTGTAGGTCTTTCCACATATGGCAAAAAGCATAACATTGAAGCGACGCACAATCTGAAGATTTGGAGGAATTGCTTGTACTACTCATTGATTGGACATCTTAGATACTCCATACTAACTTCAAGATACTGTGATGATAGATGTGTTCAACATGTACCTGGATTGCAGCATAGATCCTGGGTAGCAGGGCTCTATACTTACCAAAGTCATGCTTATGCTCTTCCTGGTTCCTCCTTCAGATGGTATGCTCTTCTAGTAAGGGCAAACCCAAGAAATCAGGGAGCTTGCTGTCTGTGTGCAGATCTGATTTCTTGTCAGAAGGTCAATGTTGGATGGATGTTCATGTGGCCAATTTCGCCCTCATGGGTGCTGACAATTCCCAAAATCCCTCTTGGCACCCTTGAGAGGTTCAGTGACACTGAGGGTTTTCCACAATCAAGCTCATTCCAAAACTAAAAAACTGTCTGCTGCTGTCTGCTGCTCAGACACACACACACACACACTTCGAACTTGGATTGTCAGTTAACGCAATTTCCCAAGGAAA